CCCCAAAACCCCAAAACCCCAAAACCCCAAAACCCCAGCAGAAGTTCAAGAATTGAAATTTATCAAGAGTTTACAACATCTTCGGATTCATAAACTTTAACAATGATTTGGGCAACTGAAATTCAATTTCACATGTCTTTGTAAACTTCTGTACCAGAGTAGAGGTTATAGCAGACTGTAGCTTCTTAGACATCACACGCTTGCCTTTGCATTGAAGCTTGAGTGAAAGTAAAGAAGGCGATTTGAGTAACTTCTGAGCACTGACTCAACCTATTTGAAAATTAGGGAGAATCATTTCAAGATTAGTAGGACATCCTTGCTCGACTAGTAGTCCAAGAATATATTTTGAGTCTTCTTCGTCTAATAAATCAAAGTATTTCAGCTCTTTCACACCAAAATCTAGAAGCATTCTTGTAAATATCACGAGAGCCTCTCTCATCTCTTGAGGAATAACAATAGAAGCAAGTGAGAGATTTTTCAATGGTGTAGGGGTTACCAAATCTGTAGGACATCTATACATCCTAACAGCTATATATGCGTTCTTGTTCAGATTCATCATCGCATCAACCTCTGAAAGGAACTCTAGCTCACTCCATTTGGTTAGGTTGATGTCTAATTCTATTTTAGGAGTCTTCAGTTCTACGAGAGTTTTCAAAAATTCGAAATTCCTACAACTAATGGACGAAATATTATGGATAGGAACAGCTATAACAGATGCTTCTTTTGTTTCCTCTATATAAGTGAGTACCTCTCCGTTTGGAGGGTCTAGGCACTGAGACATAGTCCCTCTAATCCCTTCATGATTTGGGATATAGTAGAAGTTTTCACTCTTCCCAATTACTGTTCGATTTCTGATATACACTTCTGAATTTTTAATCTCAAATCAGTCCCAGACTCCTGCTCAAGAGTTGAGAAAGAATCACTTTGTAGAGGAAATCTTATCATATGAAAGGGTTGGCTCTAGAATATTTCTCTGCGCTGACTCCACTCCAAAGCTAATATGGAGCTTGAGTCCTTCGCTGGCTTCAATATCTACAAAAATTATGCAGAAAGCATACCTCTAATCTGTGCATTTCTGAAAGCCAAGGCTTCACCAAGATCTGAGAGATAACTAATTGATGTCCTATCTTCCCAAGAGAGGAAGAGCTCTTCTTTGCAATGCTTCAGTAAGGCTTTATATCTATCCCCTGGGATAAGCTTCTTCAAATGTTTGATCTCCAGGCTTCTGATAGGATATTCTCTATTTTTGAAAAACTTTTTCATGCTGTCTTTCCCAGTAATGTTATTCAAAGTTTTCACCATCATTCTGAGTGTCTTGCCTGATAGGTTATCAATTATGATTTGCTGAAGCTTGAGGGTATCTGATGCAGTCATGTCACCCTCCTTACTCTCCTCTTGGCTATAAGCTCCATGGTCTACAGGAGGTCAATGAGGAGATTTGAAAGTCACATTTTGTGATATAACGTCTGTAAACATTACGCAACTCACTTACTTAACAGTTGGAAATCTTGCAATTTAAGGTAATCTTCATCTTTGATTCATTCAAATTGCACAAAATCCTTCCAAATTCCAAAGTCTAGCTTCTCAGGGAGGGTACCAAAGTTGACTTTTGGTCTAAATCCGCTAGAGGATGTGCAATTCCATCCGATCATCACACTTTTTGCTGTAAATAAGTTGGATTCAATGATATCCTACAGTGAAATTAGAATCAGTCAAACCCATTCATTAAGCTTGCAATATTAAGTCCAAGACTCAGAAATAATTTTTAGATTGATTACTTACACTTCCATATTTAAGCTGGAAAGCATCAGAGATTTCCCTCAGCTGATTAAAATACTTCTTCAAAGTGTCTTCATCAGTCTCGAAATGAAACTCATATTCAAAGTAGTGAGATCTGTTAGTTCTGATGCTCTCCTAGACAAGAATGAAATGGATAAGACTTACCATTACGAATGAGTAGAAATCAACCTGTCCTTCCTCGGTCTGAAACAAGACCTTTCTCTTGGCTCATTTCAAAGTGCAGATATATCTCGAAATATTCTCCCTGTCCTCTGCATTAACATGAGCTCTGCTTTTCTTTGTCAAATTAGCCAGCAAGAACTGCACTTGCTCAGTATAACCCCAGTAGGGAAGAATCAAGCTCTGAAAGACCTGATTAGTCTGGATTCTTTCTCCAATCTTCTCAAAACCCATATTATTTTTCAATATTATTGTCCTTTTCCGGGGTTTTGGGGTTTTGGGGTTTTGGGGTTTTGGGG